CATAGTGTTCCAAAACTGAATATACAATAGTTTAACCAATTCCTTAATGACAGATTTTGTGCCCTACATGGATGCTTTTTTTTTTTTTTTTTTTTTGTGGAACCAGGGATTGAACTCAGGCCCTTGTGCTTGCCAGGGAAGCACTTATTCTACTGAGCCATCTCCCTGGCCCTTGTGGGTGCTACTTAACTTCATCTTCAATTGCAAACATTGGAATAGAATTTCATCTATATCCAAGTAAAATCCATTCCTAAAAGTAGACTTGTTGGACTACAGGGTATGTGTATTTGCAATTTTTTTGACATTTCCAAAATTTCCTCCATGGAGATTGTGCTAATTTATGCTGCTACCAGTAAGATAGGAGGCCACTCACTCCTGCATGGTATTAATATTGAGTATTATCCAACATTTTCTTTCTTTTTTTTCTTTTTTGCTCTGAATGCCTTCAGGGCAAGTTTAGCTGGCTTGAATTGTGGGGATCAACCACAGCAACCTGAGTCTGACAGCTTTGTTGAAGCAGCCACTTAAAGAACTGAGCTAAGGGACAGGCTCCCTTATCCAACATTTTCAATTTCTTAACCACGACAAATAAGATCTTAATGTTTTCAGTCCATTTCTCTGTGAAAACACACAACTCTTCCTTCTCTTAGAGCTACTATGATTCTATCTTTGAGACCTGTCTTTCTCATCCTTTGCCATTTTGGACATGGAAAGATTTATTTTCTCTCTTCTTTATTTCATACTTGGTTTTCACACTGAACAACATCCCTGGCAGTCAAATTTAGCTAAAAATCTAGCCTTTTAAAAAAAATTTTAAAATTTGAGACCCAGTTTAAATTTATAATCCCCCTGCCTTATCCTCCCAGGATACTGGGATTACAGTCATGTGCCATCATGCCTGCTTATTCCTTAAGGGTTAGTCTGTCATTAAATCCAAGCATAATTCCTTAGGCCATCTGCAGGGCTCTGAGGCAAGGGAGTTGCTAGGGCCCAGGATGGAGCCTGGTAGCTTTGGGACTCAAAATGGAGCCCGGCACGACCTACCCTCTCCCCATGGACTCCTGAAACCCTGCTGGACACCTTCCTCTGGCTTCTTACCAATAGCGCCATCCAGCCCCAGAGCAGAGGAGGAGCAGTGCGGACTGCAGCCCTTCCCCTCAGGATGCCATCCAGTTGGCTGACCTGACATCGGCTCCCACAGCTCCTATATCCAGCCTCAGATGCAGCGGAGCTATTGTATGAAGTGAGGATGCTGGAGGGCCAATGAGCCCCAAGCGGTTCACACAGCGACTTCCTAAGTGACTTGGCCTTTGCAATGTGCATCTTGCGGGGGTGCGGGGTGGGGGGGCAACCTTTTTGAGGAGAGGGCAGCAGTCTCAGGACACCACAGGCTCACGGATCACACCAGCACATCTGTAGAAGCTGTAACCTGCCTTGCCCTCACCAACACTGAGCAGGTGTAGGAGGAGGGGATCCAGAAGGCTGTGTTGCCTGAAAAGCAGAACACAAACTGAGGAGGTCACACCGTGGGTCAGTACTCAGCACTGAGAGCTAGTGACAATAGGATGATCTTGCACCTGTCGCAAGAGTGAAAGCAGCCAGGCCCCAAAGAGTGGTCTCTCTAGAGTTCTGTTTACCAACAACTCAGAAGCAGGCAGCACAACCTGCAGAGGAGCAGTGTCCTGGGATACCAGTGACACGACTTTCAGTTTGTGGGAATTTGTCCAGTTGACTTATATGTAGGACACTATTGGTCTGCATTTTATAAAAATTACACACAGAAAGAGCTGTTTTGCCCTGGAGAAACAAAGCAAGTAGTGGCACTTCAGGGTTTGTTGCATGCCAGGCACTATCCTTAGCATGTTACTATGAATCCATTAATCATTGAAATCATTCAAACAGGTTGTAGTTATGAAGGTGTCTTTTTAAAATTTTTGGTACTGGGATTGAACCTAGGGTCATCTTAGTAAGTGATAACATTTGCCCTTTTTAAGGAAATGACCCAGGGCTGTGGGATCCTGAATAGACGAGGAGCGCAGGCCTGTTGAGTGAGTGAGACAACCCGGGGCCCACGGATCCTGAATAGACCCAGAACCCAGGCCCAGCATGTGAGTGAGACCACCCAGGGCCCGCGGATCCTGAATAGACCCAGAACCCAGGCCCAGCA